TTAAACCTTTCATTTTTTCCACGTAGTAATCGTAGATTTTAATTTTTCAAAATTATTTTTCTGTTTAATATTATTGGTAGTTGTATGCATTGTAGAATCAAGAAAAGTATTGAGACATACACGCATAGATTCCCGATAAATAGCTTTTTATCCTCGATAGAATTCGCCGATAATTATGAAGAAAAAAATATTATTATTATAAAAATGCAGTGAGTTAGAAATTTATACAGTTTATACAGTTGTATATAATTGTATATAATTTTAATAGTTCTAACAATAAGTTAAAAAAGAACTTATATTCAAAAATCCGATAAACCTGTTACGATTGTTATATTAAATACAGTTAGTGCTGGAAAATTATGTTTGAAACATAATATGTTGGTTATTCCGTTTACAGAGTTAGAGAAAAAGGATGGGAGTTTTTTTTTTGCTTTCAATTAATGCTAAGTAGCACGCACTAATTAAACGCAACATCGAGTCCATCCTTTAGCATCATTAACAGGAATTAACATAAAAATAATCTAAACAAAGCACTAAACTATTTTCAGTAATATACAAGTCCACAGTTTTGACAATTTTTATTTTGACATTAAAATGCTCGTAATAATCTTATTGGCATAATTTCAAAATATAATCATTTTTAATAGCGTTGCGAAAGAATCATTTTTTTATTTTTTTTTTCTGTACAAGTTAAAATTTTCATCGACTCTTATATTTAATAATTTATATTTAAAAATTGAGCGGCATTTAAAAATTTGGCAACTTTGATGAAAAGTTACAATGTTGTTCGGATCAATACTACATCAATCTTGCCACCGTGTAACATTACTGTCGTTTCTCATACTGAAGCTGAAATGATTACAGCATTTCCCTTCCACGAATGTTACATTATATTACATTTTACACACATCACGATGTTGCATATAACAGCAAGTATATTCAAAAGCAAAATACAAGATTTCATTCTGATAATGTGCCTCGACACAGGATTATTTAATGATAAAATTTTTTCTCACTCTTATTGTCGGCGGTAAATAAAGACGCACACTGTGTATAGCTTTCATAAATCTTTTTTTTACCTTACATCCTTTAAATATCTTACGATAGTTGCATACGGTCATGTTATATAATATATTCTTCGCAAATATTTGTCATTTTATGGTTATTAGCAATTTAATATATCATAAAATATGAAGAAAAAATGTACAAGCATTTTCGTAATTTTTATATTTTCAATACTTCTATTTTTAAGCTTTGATCACAATTTTACATTTATGTATCGTAATATGTAACAATCAATAAAATATCGTGTGAATTAATCGCTGCTCTTCAATGTTTTAATTGACTGAACGTAACTAATAATTCCATACTTTTTTCATAAGATATTTATGAAGTTTGCATTGATAATGATTCTAGAATAAATGATATATTGTAGCAAAATATATCGAAGACTTTTCAAAGCATAACAATTAATTTTTTTGTGAAATTCAATAATTATTTAAATATTTAAAAAGTAATAACATTTTAGAATTGATTAATTTCACACAAAAATTTAAATAATTTCGCATAATATTGAATTTTAACTCGTATGTCACCTTAAATTTATCGCAAGTGAAGCGTTACAAAAATTATCTTTCCGTTGATTTAAAACCGTTTAATATACACATCATAAATAAATCATGCTCATACATATTATCAAAAGTCAATTTCAATACATTCTGTTATTTATCTAACAAGCACACATATACACACATACATACATGTGTGTAAAAATAGATGAAACAGTCTATATTACGATTTCGATTACGACTGCAATTTTTCGATTTAAGTAGACATTATTTCATATGCAAATCACAACCTCAATAAAATAAACGGCTTCGTTTAAGTACTCATATAATCAAGATTAGAATTCTCACGCCGATTAAATCGTCTCGTATTATATGTATATAATCAAAGTTATCAATTATCAATCAATATTAAATAAAAAATATCATTTACAATCATAAATGTTAGTTGACTATAAATACATACCATTTTTTATCAGTATATTAATCAAAATACGGATTATTCCATAGCGACTATAATTTATACTTCTAACCTATACAGGGCGTTTCAAAAGTGGCAGTCAATTGCTCGGGAGGTAATTGGGGAGTCAAAAACAAGAAAAAAAAGTTGGTATGGACATAGATCCGGAAATGCGTTGTTTTCGAGTTATCGCCATTTTTATGTTGAAATTTTAAGTTGCTTTGCTTTCGAATTTTTTTGTCAAATTGAAAGAAGAGATGGGGTGATTATGAGTTTTATAATATAATTAAAGTCAAATAAAAGTTGCGGGCTGCTTTAGCACTGCCCAAGATAAAAAAACAAAAAAAAAACAAATAAAATAAAAAAAACAAATAAATACAAAAAAATTGAATAAAATGAAATAAATAAAACAAAACCATTTCTTCTTTCAATTTTGATAAAAAGATTCGAAAACAAAGCAATTTGAAATTTCAACATAAAAATGGCGATAAATCGAAAATAACGCATTTCCGGACCTATGTTCATATCAATCTTTTTTCTTGTTTTTGGGTCCCCAATCACCTCCCGAGCGATTGACCTCCACTTTCGAAATACTCAATATAACATATAGATCGTATACTAGCAATCGCAACAAATCTTCACCAAAGAGAGCAAAGGACGTGATAGCGTTTCTTATCATACGAAATGGCTATTTATCGTCACGGGTTGATTGATTATATATATATCAGCAACGAATGCATAAAAGAGTGATTCTGCATGAATCTTTGCTGAAAATTGATTGTTTTAATGTTAGCTAACTTATGTACGTATTTATAACTAAACATTCTTTATATTCTCTCTGTAATTCTCTATCTCTCACGGTTACAAATATAGATATAAATTGATAAACTTATCTCGGAGTTTGTTAACAGAATGTCGAAGCAAATCGTAATAAAGTAAGTAATTCTAGAAAATATAATTGACTATGAAATTGACTATAATTGACTATATATGAAAGATAAAAATTTCGAGTAAAACAATTTTGAAAATAAAAAAAGAACAGTTCTAAAGTAATAATTCTAAAGTATTCCTCGCGTAGAAATCAGTAAGGTTAAGAGATGACTTCCAATTCATTTGTGAAAACAAGATAAAAATTTAGCTAACTGCTAATAATAAGCATTAAGGATGTATGTGTCATATGTCAAAACATTGACAAAAGCATGAAAATTTCGTATTGTTCTACTATTTCTTCTGATCTGTATCTGTGCAAAACCTGACCACAATTCTCTTAACGGTTTGGAAATTATTTAAGTTTAAAGTTAGTTAATTCTTATGGAAAATCGCGTATTGTAGCACTAATTGACAAATTTGACAAGAAAAAAACATTGCTAACAAAATAAAAATTTTTACGTATATTAAGAAAACTCTAATAAATATTTGTACAAAACTTAATATAGATCCACTTTCTCGTTTAAAAGTTATTTACTAAAAATTGTAGAAAAATATTATTTCTCTCTCAGCTAACTGCTAATAATAAGCATTAAGGATGTATGTGTCATATGTCAAAACATTGACAAAAGCATGAAAATTTCGTATTGTTCTACTATTTCTTCTGATCTGTATCTGTGCAAAACCTGACCACAATTCTCTTAACGGTTTGGAAATTATTTAAGTTTAAAGTTAGTTAATTCTTATGGAAAATCACGTATTGTAGCACTAATTGACAAATTTGATTTTTATTTGAATTTTTATTTACTAAAAATTGTAGAAAAATATTATTTCTCTCTCTCTCCTTCTGCAAATTACTCGTGTTTTTTTTGTTTCTTGCAGTTGATTTCAGTGGACAACGATCAAGTTTTTGTCATAAATTAGGAAAAATATTAGTTAAAACTATTTTCTTTTACGAAGACATTAAGAATCATATTATATTTTGTGATACTTTAATTCTTTTTGTAATCCGGATTTATTTATTTTATTTTTCAAACAGTATAAATGTAAGAAATATGTTTTTTTTTTAATTTTGACAGTTTTTTGCTATTATTATACAGCCAAAACATCCTTAAATGATTTTGGAGCAACAAGTTCTTTGAACTTGAAGTTCTCAATCAATAATCTCACAATTGTACATATGTTTAACCTGCATGCTACTCAAAAAACCTGTTCTATCGAGTTTCGTTTGAAGTAAAAAAAATGTTCAAAAGCTTCCTTTCTCGAAAGTTATAATGTATGATGCTAACGATTTCTACTTGGTAGTGAAAGAGAAATGAGAAAATCTTATTTTAAGACCAGCAATGAGATTTCGATGCAGAGATGAAATTCGCGAATGATTTTATGGAGTTTTCCTCCGAAAAAGGAAGAAACTCGCCGGGCGGCTTTTGTACATTGTTACATAATATCGTAAATGCGTAAAATGTGCAATATGTATAATATATAAAATGTTATATTTTGAAACATTTTATAAATGTGTAGAAGATATAATACAAATAACGTATATAAAATTAAGTAAAGTTTCATTTTACGAAATATTCTCTCTTTGTAGAGGGCGTTATCATAAAAGAATATAAAAATAAATGTTATAACTGAAAATAGCCACCAGATAATTTCCAGATTTACAAGGAAAAATAAGGAAAATAAAAAATATATAGAAAACAGAAAAAAAAGAGAGAAAATAAAGAACTCATAAATCAATAAAATTTTTCACACAATTTAAATAATTATGCATACATCTTAATTAAAAGGAGCTCCGATTGCCGACAATGATTTGTTCGTCACTATTAAATGGGCGATATTAAAACAAAAAGAAAATCAATATGAAGCCAAATCGAAAAAGTAATTTTACGGTAGAACAAATTATATAATGATAGATCGTAATTTAATTATATGTTCTTCGTTCGTCCACCATCGTTGTCACGCGCAATGCATATAAAAATAACTTTTTTCTTCACCGAAAAACCGAGATCAAATGCGAAAAATTTACAGGTGCTAAACGCACTCACCTGCAGATGAATGGGCACTTTCTTCACTGGAGTACTCATCTTGCGAACTCACAACGATCACAATATGTATTTACTCTCCAATACGTGTGCAAATCACTCTTATTTTTGTTCGTATGAAACAAACGTTGGTTTTACTGGGAAGTAACGAATCGAATAACGTAACTACACGACCAACACGATCGACTAAATGCGAAATGCGACTGATGCGACGCGTTAGTATCGTTTTCATCACTCGATGGGGTGGATCCCCACTCGACGACCTTCGCTTCCACCAATCGGAGTAGAACATTAACGGAACGCGGGAAATGTCAAATGTAAAATAGGTTATGCATTCCATTTGGCGTTACAAATGCTTCGAATTACTTGATTCAGAACAGAAAGGAGTAGAAATTTCATTGCTCTGATTAATCGAGCAGTTTTTACAGTTTTTTTGCGGATATATAATCAGTTTCAATGTAAAATTAATTTTCCTTAAAATTGACGCACTCTCTATGGGTGCGTTCCGTTTCACGCATTGAGCGCATAGATCGCCTGGAAATCTATAGTTCACGTAACATATATTATAGATTTCCAGGCGATCTATGCGCTAAATGCGTGAAACGGAACACACTCCATCATTCGTCTAGCTTTTACTAGTCTGGGAAATTTAAATTAGTATTTTATGTGAGAGACTTACTAATTTTTTAAGTAGAGTTTTTTTGACGTTAAATAGAACAAAAAAAAAGTATTGTGTATATCTATCACAAAATGTAAACTTTTTCAAAATAATAAAATGGCTTCAAAATAATAAACAATAATCAATAGGGCTTCAGGAGCTAATATCGGATGTCCGTATAATAAAAAATTCACATTTGAAAAACAAAATCAATCAATTAATAAATTAGAATAAATTAATAGACAATAATAGATAAAATGTTAATTTATTATTCTAATTTATTAAAATTAAATGTTGCATGATTTTTTTTTAAATGTAAATTTTTTGTTATACGAACATTCAATATTAGCTCCTAAAGCCCTTCTATCGATTATTGTAAACTTTTTTCTTCATCTATAAAATATATCATAGTCATCAAAATGTTGTTAATGTCAAAAGTTTAAAACAAATGATTAATTAACTAAAAAACATTCTTTAGTCTATCACATTATCATATTCTTGAGGTATTTATATTAAATTTTGAAATATCTCGTGTGTGTACACAATTAATTATACAATAATATAATTATTTAATATAATATGATACAAATTGGAATATAAAAATGTTGTAACCATTTTAAAATGAAAATGACAAATTTAATTTAGCATTTTATTTTAAATTTTTTGCAAGGAAATTTAAAACACTAAATCTAGTTCTTATTTATTGCTCATTTGTGTCCAGTGTCGCATTTTTTCAAGATCTTATAAAATCTTATACTTCTTATTTATTACGATTTATTATACATTTTTTAAGTAGGAACATATTTTATTCGCGCAATTAAATTATATATCAATGAAATAGATACTTCGGTTTGTTTATTTTTTGCGTCAAAAATAAACAGTTATATTTGTGTAAAAAAGATACGTTTATTACATATATTGAATATATCGAAAACAGGCAGAAGAGTTCTAGGCATATATGAATCCTCTATCTTCAAATTCCATGTCGCATATGATAATAGCTTAAACTATTTACAATCTTATACATATTTATATACTATTCTCTATAGTATTATAATAAAAAATTGTAGCAGAAATATATATATACAGAAGCGAAACTCCGACATTTTAGACTGAATATTTAGAGCCACATTTCTTTATTGGCGTTAATCTCAGGCCTTTAGCTAGCATTTGAGCTTCGAGGTCACGGTCTTCGTTCTGATATCTAGAAGAAATAAATAAATATATATACATATATGTATATATCTATTTATATATGTATATATTTGTATTAATATTAAATAGTATTATTTGCTGAAGTTGTGCATATAACATATTTACATAAACCTTTTATTCAAAATCATTAGCATCATCTCCCAAAACATGGGTATTCAATTTAATTATTGTCAAATGGAAAATTTGAATATATAGAACAGCTTAGATATATTACTATTGATTTATTTCTTTTTTTTTTAATATATAAACAGATGCGACATTTCTTTTTGTTTTATTTTATTGCCGGGAAGATAAAGAATTTGTATATTAAAGAATTTGTATTATAATTATAAATAATAGCAACTCTAATATATATATGTACATATGTTTTTGCTTATGACAGTAACACTCATGAAAGCAAAGACATTTGTATTGACTTACTTGTCTACTAAAGCTATAACTTATATGATTAAATATTTATTATCACATACATATTATCTATAAGATCTTATACTTTATTCAAGATTTAACATCATTATATGTATCCGCAAATTATTAGAAAATGTCAAAATAATAGAGATTTGTATAAAAATTTGCAGAAATATAATATATTTAATGCACAGCCCAAGTTTTATGAAAAGAATCTTATATATAACTCATATATATAGCTGATTATAAATTGATAGCACATAATCAACTACTAGAGACTAATTGATTTTATATCTATATGCCATTATAAGAAATTTACGAATTGGGTGAATCTTAAGTTATTTATAAATTGATAAAAATACATTTACTTAACACTTTGCCAACCGATTGGATAGATTTACCCGTTTCATGAGTCATCACTGAACGACCAAATGAGTAGATCTATCTTTTTGCGCTACACCACCATTGTAACCACTAAATATAAGCATGTTAAACATCAATAACCACAGATTTCTATACCTTCTATAAAGGTATAGAATTCTATATCTAGACTGCTAACATGACTATATCATATCTGATGAGATATGAAACAAGGGCAGCCCATTTACAGTTGAGCAGAATGTAAGTGTATATACAGCGTATATGTAAGTAAGTATAAGAATATAAGTATGTATATAATGTACATTAATGCAACCTATATATATATATATATATATATTCTATCCAATTGTAAATGGCTATCCTGGGTTCACCTGTAACATTGCTCTTAGCGATCTAGGTATAATATATATGTATATAGAAGTCTGTGTCAATAACACTGTAACTAGATATCTAAAACAAAAAAGATAACACTGATAGGCATTTATTTTGAGAGTGTATTTGTCGAAGGTACACATATATCGTTAATGTGCGGACTTTTTAGTCTTTTTCGAACCTTGATAACTTGAACATAAACTTGATTGTTTGGAGCGTTATCATATTATTGAAAAATAATAAAACATGTGTGTTTTATAATTGTATCATCAATAATCTTATTTGCCATTTTCATATAATATAAAAGCTAAATATAAAATAAATTTTTAATAACAAAGAAACGTGATGAATTTTATTTTCAAGTTTCATATATTTAATCCTCATATTATAAAAGTTATGCAAAGTTAAAAGAAAACATTGTATTGAGTGCGGTTCGAAAAAACTGCGGTGACTATCGCTTATGTTAGTTACGCCTAACTTAGGCGGTTGGCAAAGTGTTAAGTAACTTACCCAAGTACTTCAAATACTTCGGTATATTGACGAATTAGCTTCATACTTATATTTTTAAGTTAGTTATTTTTTAACAAACTGTTTTAACTTATTAATTTTTAAAATTCTATTTCTTAGTTGCTTTATATTTTTGAAAATATATATCTTTTATATAAAAGGATATCTTTGAAAAATTATTTAATGATGTATTATATTATTTAATGATGATATATATTTAAATAATTTACTTTTTTGTATGTGTATAATTTATATTTTTAATAATATACAACTCTTTGAAGAATTTTCATATGCTTTTTAACTTTATAATATTTTTTTATGCAAATATATATGGTTTTTCAGAAATACAAAGTTTTAAATTTTATAAGATTTTTTCATATATTTAATTTCTTCATAAATAAAAATTTTACCATACATATAAAAAGAAAATTTGCATTGCAAAATGATATTAAAAACAATCTA